TCACTCAGCAAAAAGCCCAAAAGAACATGATCCAATTTAGGTCTTAAAAAAGACCATTTACTCACCACCTGTTACATACACCAGGATTGCTACTAGATAGGAAGAAGCTATATGCTTGTTGCCTCAAGAAATGTACAGTCTACTGGGCAGACACCCAGATACTTTTAAGAGGAGTGGCAATATCATATTGTTTTTCAAGGGCCAGATAGGAAATCCAAATAGGTAAGCAGCTCTGTCTCAGAGTACACTAGGAAAAACAACTACAGAATGTATGTCCAACTAAGGTAATTTTAAATCAACTTCAAAAGAATGCTATCAAAGCAAAACACATATCCCCAATGAGACAGAAAATGCATTGCAAGAAATGTTTAACTGCCAATCAGATAAAGATTTTTCTTTAAAGATGGCAAACTTCCAAAGAATGCCATCAAAACAAAACACATCATTTCCCAGTGAGAAAGAATACAGTGCAAGAAATGTCCAACTGCCAATCAGATAAACAAAGACTTTTTTTAAAGGAAAGTTGGCAATGCAATGAAGAAGCTAGATCTCACCCACATTTCTGATGAGAGTTTACACTGCTGTGACCTTTCTGGATGGCAGAAATATACATCAAAATGAAAAACATGAATTTCCTTCAACTCAGTAATTAGACTCTTAGAAAACTGCCCTGAAGAGTCATGAGTGTATGACTGCACATACAATGCATATCTATAATATACAATAAATTTAAACAATCTAAATATAGGAACCTAGTAAATTATGGCACACCCATTCAATAAGACACTAAAGAACTATTTAAAAGAGTAGATGCAGATGTACGGGTCTGAAAGGCTATCCGTGAATATTAACTTCTAAAAGACTAAGAGCCACAGTGGGCCACCTGCATGCTCCCAAGGGCCATTTCCGGTCACACCTGGAAGCATTATTGCAAGCCACTGCCCAGAAGCTTTTGTCAGTGGGGTGGGTTTTATGAGAACTGCTCACTGAGAGCCTGTCTGCAGCCAACATATCCAGAAGAAACAAACACTAGCTGCCCAGAAACCTGCAGCAGTTACATAATTAATAAAGTGGACCCTCTGGCCTACAATGAGGAGTTTCTATAGCAGTAGAATATTCACTACAAATCCAATATGGAGATTTTCAAACTGCACCAAATAAGCACAGCAAAGAACTGACAAAGCTGGTGATAACTGACAAAGCATCTGAATAACTTTCCTCAGGAGCTGAAAGGTCTGCTCTCCTACAATCACACTGTCTTGAATGTAGATCTTCCAGTAACACTTTGTAAAGCTCTGATTGGAGAAGAATCTCATCAATTCATCAAGTTTGCCAGAACTCTTCCTTGAACTTCTACATTGTCTTATAAGCTTCAAAGACTTTACACCATTAATTTTATGACTGATGAGAATAAAAGTACAAAATACAAGAATAAAGTGAATATAGCACTGCAGAATTTGATGTACACATGTTAAGGGATAGCAGTGAAACTGCAGCCAAAATATCTTTGCAAGTGACAACTGAACTCTGCAAAAGAAACATCTGATGGGATGCCAAGACTGTCAATGTTATCACAACTGCATGCTTCTCTAAGGTCACCAAGGTACTATTAGTTGCTACCTTGACATTCTTGCCAGGGAAAGATGAACGTGAGAAACAGGAAAGAGACTCAGAGCGCAAGTGCAATATGCCACAGCGAAGAGGCTCCAAACACAAGAAAAGACTGAAAAGGTTATAAAAATACTTAAAAAACAAAAGAAGAAGCAGAAGTGTTTAACTTTTCTGCTATTTGCTTCATGACCCCCAAGGTTTTGCAGAAAAACTACTAAAGCAGCTGAAGAGCTCTAAGAAGACATCTGAGTGCATGAACTTTATCTCTAGATGGGTGGGAATTCATGAGCCTTCTCTAAGTTTTATCCCTTTGTGCAAAGGTTTCTGTAGCAGTACCAGAGAGAGGTATAACAAGATCCTTATGTATGCTGCATAAACATCTGATCACCTGGTCCCAGAGATCACTGAGTCACTGATCATGACCGTGGCCTCCCATTTTGTTAGGAACAAGAATTCTGGGGAAGTCATGACAGTATGAATCAATGCTATGAAAGAGATAGCAGCTCAATGACTGAAGAACTTTGTCAAAACACACAAAGATAAGAATGTGGTGATGTCTGGTAGAATTTCGATTCAGTTCTTCTGAACACTGAATCCCTCAGATGTTGCAGAAGAAACTCCAGGGTAAGACTACAGAGTCCTTCATAAAATCAAGAGGGTAAGAATATGGAGAATTAGATAGTAAAGAACAATAGTTCTTTAGGAACAGAAGTTCTGGAAGCTGAGAAAGAGGAAAAGAATGCTGAGAATGATAAAGATGGGTGGGAGGATGCTGACAGTAAATGGATATGGATTGATATGCACCACTCTTCCAATGAAGAACAGCAAGAAATTGCTAAGAAGCTGAACAGCCTCATGGAGGAGCCAGAATGTCCAGTCACAAAATATGTGAGTGTTCCTTCACGGAAGAGCAGCCAGCACTGCAAGATAAATTTTTGAAAAAGAGTAAAAGGCTGAAGTAACTTCAAGTTTTCCATTCCAAGGAGAATGCTAAAGTTATGTCATTAACCTGACAATGAGTGAATCAAGAACATTTGTTTGCATTCAAAAGTCCAGAAGCACTGTATTTTCAAAACCCCCAAGGAAAGCACATGGCTAAACTAATTGGACTGCAAGGATTCATATTCCACCTCTTTCATTAACTAGAAGATAAACCTGGGCGAAAATTCTGTGACTCAGTTTTCTCATCTGTAAATAGGGATGTGTACCCACAGCGCTGCTGCAGGTACTAGATGATTTAATACAGGCAAAGTATTGTAAACTACCTAGTACACAGCAAGTGCTCAATTAACACCACAATCATCAAGCATCTATTATTCCTGACTTTTTTTTTTAATCTTGTCTAGTAAGACAAATCAGGAAAACTCGATTCATCAAGCCCCCTTCTAGTGAACTCTTCAATGCAGAAAACACAAATGTATTCAATAGGCAAATAAAAACAACCTGTTTTTTTTTAACCAGATTACAAACCAACAATTAACAACATGAAGCCATTTGTTTAAAAACAATCACTGACTGATCCTTTAATGACAAAACAAACCCTTCTGAATCCTTCTGGTGTAATCCTACATAACTTTACTTTCTTTCTATTATTCTGACTCATTTTAATTTTCTACATTGAATATCCATCATTTTTAAGAGTCAGGATGTCTTCTATTAAATGCCAGACAGTAAATACTTTAGGCTTTGTGGGCCATATGGATGGATCTCTGTCCCAACTACCCAACTCTACCTCTGCATGGCAAAAGCAACCACAGACAATACCTAAACGAATGCATATGGCTATGTCCCAATAAATATAAAAACAGGCAGCTGGTAAGACTTAGCCCACAAAGTGTAAAGTTTGCCTACCCCTGCAAATAAAAACAAAACTATTTTCATTTTGGAAAACATGTGATTTATACCAAAGAAAGTGTATCAGCTAATACTAATTGGTGGAAAAAAGCCACTCATTTATTAATTTGTTCAAGTCCAGAGACAGAAAAACACAGACTGTCTTTTAGGTTCTGGAAATCTTCTCATTCCTGTGCCCCAGGAAGAACGGATAATTTGCTACTAAGTAGGCCTCAAGTCTAGATAGGCACATATACTGGTAGATGGTCAGCTACAATTAGAAACTAAAAATTTTATGTCTTTCATACTTAAATCAATTTGAAGATTTTTCAAATTTCATAATTCACCACCACGCAGCTGCCATTGTATGTGATAGTCTCAACTACTGAGGAAATAAAATTATTTTAGTTACAGATCATCACAATCAGTACTCTAACAGGGTAAGAGTCAGAAGGTGGTGAAAGGCAACATAAAAAGATAGCCATTGATAAGAGCACACACTTCAAACTTCTGAACTGACAAAGTTTAGGCCCTCCTCCCAAAAGATAGAGCTTTTGGTTGTAGTAAGTTATTTTTTAACATCTCACTGGGAAACCTTGTATGATCAGATGATTTTTTAAGTTATGACAGATTTCTTGGAGTTTTAGATGGTTTCTTTGGAGGAGAGGGAAGGATTGTCTTTGGAAGAGACAGAACGGGAATGAGACTGAAAAATCCAGTCTAAAAATAAAAATTAAAAAAGACTATTCTTATAAAAAACGCAAACAATCTGCAATAAAGTCAACATACCCTGTAAGATCCCAGTTGGACATCTGAATCTTTCTATCAAAGCTCAACTGTTGGGCCATCTCAAGTTGTCAAATTCCAGAGGTAAACGTTTAAATAAGATAAAAAGCCAAGAGGAGAAAAAAAGTACCACTTTCCAATCCAAAGTCTCTCACAGACCCCTAACACTGATTTAAACTCTGACATCAGCAGTTTTAAAAGAAGCAAATACTGACAGACAAAAAGCCAAACGGGGGCTTGGGGAAACAGGGCCAGGAGACTATCCCAAGCAGGCTTTCCGAGGAGTCACCTAATGAAACCTGGAAAATGTCCCTTCCTACCCCAGGAACTGCACAAGCAGTACTAAGCAGAACGCATTCGAAGCCTGCCACGAGAGGAATTCCTCGAGCTGAGAGAACGGAAACGAAAGGGAGAAGGGCAGGTGTCTCCCTGGATAGGGAGGAAGGGGAGCCACACGCGGAGCGGAGGAGAGCCCGGGGCGCCCTGGACCCTTCTCCGGGGGGAGGTGGGGGCCGAGCGGCGCGGGCGCCGGGCTCCAGGTCCAGGGACAGCGGCTGGAAGGAGGCGGGTCCAGGCCCCTCGCCATCGGCCCCCCGGGCCACTGCCCACTGCGGGGCAAAGGGTCAGGCTGGAGGGCCAGGCGGAGCACTGGGACGAGAGCGCGCGGCCGGCCCAGCGGGGGACACGGCCCCCTCAGCCCTCACCTCCTACCCGAGCCCGGCTCTCCTCCTCCACCCGGGAAACGGCGCTCACACTCCGATGACCCTCACCAGAAGCTCGTCGCCGCCTGTCCGCTCGTCGCCGACTCCTGGGAAACCACCACTGAGGGGAGGGGAGGAGGGGGTAGCGGAGGAGGGAAGGGGCCAACCCGGTGAAGCCTCCGGGACTGCCGCCGCCGCGATACCGCGCCTGGAATAGCGCTCGCGCCGCCGCGAAAGCCGCCGCCGCGTAAGCCGCTGCCGTGTCTTCCCGCCCCCACGACCGCACGTTGCCGTGACGCGCATCGCACGAGGGCGTTGGAACCAATAAGACCACGCCTCGCGCGCAGCCGCGCTGGCCTAAACCGGAAGCTGCCCCTCTGCCGGCTCTAGAACCTGATGCATCTTGGGAGTTGTGGTTTAGCCAGGAAGTTAGGGAGCGGTGCTGAGCTCCAGGGATCCGCTGGAGATCGCTGCGCAGCGCGCACAAAAATTATACCGAGAAGGGAAGCAGTTCAGAGAGGGAGACAGAGGGCTGTGAGGCAGTGGTACGGATTACACACCTTGCGGGGAAGCCAGACTTCAGGGATTTAGGCTGGATCCTGGGTTTGTACCCGAGGCGTTCTCTGTGAAAGCTTCGAAAGTCCGAAAGCATTAGCCAATTCTTGCCCAGCACAATAGCGTTTGCTTTTTATTACCGTCAGGTATTGTGATTTATGCCCTACCACTTCTAAAAACTGTGAGCCCACTCACTCTTAAAATATGTATAATTCAGAACAATTTAAAAAAAAATTTTAGTGTAACCGCTAGTCAGAAACTCATTCCCCAACAAACACTGTGTCCATTAACCCAGAATGAGTGGTTTTCTTATGTGAGTTTTCAACTGAGTTCTAACTTATTCCTCTATGTGGGGGCCCGGCCGGGGGAGGCTGAGCCCCACTCTAGCTGGACAACGCCCTAAAGATGGCGCCTGCTTCCTGCTCACCACCCTTTCCCCTCTTCCCTGTTGGGGATTGGCCCAGCAGACTTCCGTACCCGTGCACAGCTCGTGCTGCCCGCGTAGAGTGGCGCGTGACACCTATTCGCTTAAAGGTCACGCATGATACTGTCCCGGATTGGTTGGGTGCCTGAATATAAGGGAGCCCGCCGGGAGGGAGAAGAGCTTCCCGACAACTGCTGTAACCGCCGCGAGAGATTAGACAATAAAGCCTAGAGAAGAATCAAGACCTTGGGCGTGTTGCTTTGGTCCCTGAAGGGTCGCGACAAGTGGCCGAACCCCGGGAATCGCTAAACCTCGTTGTGACCTGATCCGCTGACCCTGGCGCCTGCCGATGAAGTAGAGCTTGTAACTCTTCAGGAACGTCGCTGGACGCCGTTCGGTTGGCTGGCCAGACCGGGAGAGGGAACCGAGGAGGGTGAGTGGATCGGCGAGCAAACTGAAAGTATACGTGGCAGGGCAGACAGCAGGC